CACATCTCACTGAATAAAAATGTCTCCTAGAACACTCCCCATAAGAGTAAACTACCTTAGTGATTCAGTGAATGGCATTTTTCAAGATGAGTTTTAACTAGTGCTTCAATTTTAGGGACACCCAAAACCACCCAAATCACATAGCTGCAATTGCAGAGTCCTGCTACCCACTCTGTTCCTTAATAGGATCCCTCAGGAAATTTAAAAGGAGCCAATGGGAAATTGGTTTCACACTGAGCTGGCAAAAATTCCATCTATTCCCAACACCATTAGGTCTTACTCCTGAAAGTAGACAAGAAGTTACCTCACACATCCCCCGCTCCCCTTTGCATAAAAGCAGCAAATTAACGTTATTGATCTGACCAAACTCTAAATTGGGCAATTATGTTTGGTCTCTCCACAGTCATCTGCTCCTTCAACAGAAATAGTCCTCACATCACATCCTAGACTCTGAGGAATTTTTTTTACAGTTAAAATAGCTACTGTGCACCAGCAGTGAGTTTCAGTGATCTCCTTAGCTGACTTAAAAACTCACAGGAGTCTTGTTTGACCTAATTAACAAAAGCCTACAGAGAACTTGCAGATCCTTTATTTAGAAGTAGTATAAAAATAACAAATCTTATCAACACATACAGGGTAAGAGAGAAAGTTAACAACCTTACTTGTATCATTTTGCTGTCTCAACAGAAGTCAGTAGACTGGTGTGGGCAGCTACCCAAGAGCTGCACACACCCATTTCACTGTAACAAACGAATTTTGCATCTTTATCCACCCCTGTGCCTAAACAGGTCTCCCCATGGTTGGTTCCTGCTTTTCTGCTCTCTCTTCCTTGCCCCTTCAGAGTAGGCACAAGAGCAGGCTCAGCTTCTTACAGTGGTACACTAATAATCTCACTTTTCCTTTCTCCTCCACTCCAAATTAGGTACAGGATTGGGGAAGGGAATCACTGGCCTCTTTTGCTTATTGCCTTTGCAATATTGGGAAACAATAAGTAAAACCTTCTTCTAAATTTCTTAGGCTTCCACGAAAGGACAGTTATTGTGTCCAAATGAATCTAAAGAACAGCAGAGTATTAGAGCCAGGCAAAACAACAATACAAGATACTGGGTCTGTGCACCTACTGACAGTACCCAAACACATGAGTGTGTGTAAAAACACAACCTCACACACACACATCTGGCCAGCTGTGGTTAGCACTAACCCTACCCACATTATCAGCAACTCCAGTGGCTACACAGCACAGATTTTAAACACTGAGATTCATGCTCACAGTGAACTCCCTCCATGTGATTTTTACAATAGCAGTGAAAGTAGAAAAACCCAAACCAAGCAGATCAAATAGAACAGTGGCTTTTTTTTGCCAGAAAGCAGCTACTAAACCTCATTGTTTCAGTGCTCATCTCTAAAGCCTGGATTCAGGATGCAGCCTGGATACAGACAGATCAGAAGGCAAAGAATTGCTTTCCATTTTCCATTTTCCAGTGGCACTGCCTTGTCTGCACACAGATTATACATTGAAATAGGGGGAAATGTGCTCTTTACACAGAATCACAGAATGGTTTGGCTTGGAAGGGACCCTAAAGCTCCTAAGTTCCACCCCCTGCCATGGACACCTTCCACTGCCCCAGATTGCTTCGAGCTCTGTCCAACCTGGCCTTGGACACTTCCAGGGATGGGACAGTCACATCTATTCTGGGAAACCTGTGCCAGGGCCTCACCATCCCCACAGTATAATTATTTTTCCTTCTATCTAGTCTGAATGTGACCTCTTTTCATTTGATATTACCCCTTGTCCTACCCCTATGGGCCCTGCTAAAAAGTCTGTCACCAGAACCATAAAAGTCATATCATCTTTACTCCTTTATTGAATAATAAAGTTCTATTCCTGATTACTCAATTATTTAAAATAATCTTATTTTAAGTAGGCGTAGAATTTTTAACAAGGTTATAATTTTTGCAAAAAAATCACATCCAATATAAATAACATATTCTGATAGCTTCCATCAGTTTTACTTGTATTGCTTTCCAATTGGAGAAAAAGCTCTGGCATTTTCAAAAAAACTTGCTGTTTTGTCAGCATTTAAAGAGTTATATGATCAGAATCCAACTACTCAGAGCATAATTTGTTATCACAGTAAAGCAAACAACACATCATACATCCTTCTATTTCAAATTCATTTCAGGCACAGTCCTTTCTCTGTGAACTCATTATGAACAAATGCCTTTTTCTCCTTAGACTAAACCTTGACTTTCACCTTGATAGGAAAAATTAAAAGAAGATCACAGCCCTGTGTAATGCAGTGATCTCAGGCTAACCTTTATAATATATATTTCTCAGAAATCTAAACTAAAATTGCTGCACAACTCCTGTAACTCAAACCCATTCAAGCTTCCCCATGCACAGTTTATTCCCAGTACTGGCATGGACTCTCTGTGGTCAGAAGGAAACAAGGAAGATTCCCAATATTTTACACCAACTAATTTTCTTCAGCTATCTCAAAGCTGTGCTTTACTTCACCCTTCCAGTTCTCACTGTTCTCCTCCTCCCTCCAATTTTCTGTCAGCAGAATTTCTTTATCTTGGAACAACATAACATGTCTCTGCAGGCAGTGTTTTAATCACTGCAGGCTTCCTGGGTTTTACATCCCAGCTCCCATTGTTCAACTGAGAGACAAATACAAACTTTACAATGCACCTCAACAATACTACCAAGGTAATTTCTGGGAATTTTTAACTGAAACAAACTTGGTCTTTCAAACCATAATCCAGGTAGGGAGTTCACCAAAAAGCAGGAGATGAACATTTGAGCCTATTTAGAGATGTTCAGAGAGGCTGCTCACATTGTTTGTCAGCCCCACTGACCAGTGAAGGGCCCTTTGCAGGCACTGACCTACTGAGAGTGTCTGTGCAACACCAGCACTTGAATTTCCCCTGCAGTAAGAAACTTTTCTACAAAGCTGACCAGGCACAGCAGCATGATAAATAACATTAATTACATTTCTTAGATGTTTCTTATTACAGTTTGGGAATAATAAAAATTTCTGCTGGTGCTGATACAGCAACAAGCAAGGATTTCTATTTAGTCTTTCATATATTTTAAGGTATGTCCTTACACAGCTTCCAGCCTGAACACCAAGGATAAAATTCTCATCCCAGCTCTGCCACAGGCACCTCAGAACATTTCCTCAGGTTTCCAGTGTACAGCCCACAGGTGGCACAAATGTCTGTTACCCACTTAACAATGGTGTAAATTGTTCTTCTGCCAGAAAAGCTGTGGTGCTGTATCAGTGGCCTGGAGAGAAGAAATCACTGAAGGTGCTCAAACATTGGCAGCTTGGCCCAGGGAAGCTGGGGAGTCTCTCAGAAGGAACTCAGACCTGGCTGCTGCAAGACTGTCAACTGCTCTTGCTGACCCTGCCTGAGAAGGCAGCTGATGATCTCAAGAAGTCTCTTCCAATCGAAACAATTCTGTGATTATTTCTATATTAGAATTTTTAATTTTTTTAAGCTTTTGGGGAAAAAAAACCCCAATGTTTTCTCTAATCAGAAGCTCTGCCAATTTCTTCCTCATGGAGCAGATGCTTCCTTCCAAAGTTCTATGAGAACAGTAAATTCTTTCCCCTGTTATTTAAGAATACAATAATATTTTGTGCAATGTTATAAGAAATATAATGAGCTACAATAGACAGCAGTCCCAGAAAGAAAAATCACTAAATGAAAGTTTATAGCTAGAGCTTTCTCTCTCTTTCCCCTCAAGGAACTGGTGTTAACAATAAAAAAGAAACACTTTAGTAGAAAGGAAGCTTAACTCATTTGTAGGTGAAATGATTCCCCTTTTTCCAATTTAATACCATTGCCAATATTACTGTTGTCATCTTCAGCTGACACTGGGGAGAGGGGGAGAAAAAAAAAATCTGACAGGAAGAAAACAGAAAAGATGGCTTTATTCCCATACACCAGAGAGGTAAATATGTGCAATGGAAAAAGGAGGAGTAGTAGGTGTAAAGAATGGTACAAAACATGGTATGTTCCACATTCCCTGCCCCTCCTCCATTAGATCAGGTGCTCCTTTCCAAGAAAATGCCTCCAGGGACATCGGACCCCATAGAAGAACTGAGACCAGCAAGAATAAAACTGATTTCATAAGAGTTGATTGCTTTTTGAAGTACAGAACACAGCTGGTTCTGCTGGACAGGGACAAGACTCACTCCCCTGGATCACTCCTGGGTTTGTTTCCTGGACATGGAACTTGTCACTGCAGGTTTAAATGAGGAAACAAAGCTGCTGCAGCTCTATGTAGAGGTATTTCTCTAAAGGAAGGACAGGAAGGAAATGCAAGCTTAGACCACCTACATCTTGATCCTAATCCTACAGTTAAGGCTTGTAATTACTAAGCTAAAAAGAGAAAATAAAAACCAGGAAAAAATACCTTCAAATGTTCAAGTTTTTTATCTGCTGTGTCATGGGCTTTGGCTATCAAAATGTAAGAAAAGAAGAGGGATGAAAGCAGGAGACATTATGTGGCAGCAACTAAAAATTACACTAAAAAGATGTGTATAAAACTCCATACACTTATCCTAGTGTTTAATTATAATTTATGGAGGAACAATTGCACAAAACCTCCCATAGTTTGAGTTCTTCTCCTTTCAGACTCTAGAAACTAAAACAACTACTTACAAACTGTGCTGAATAATTTTTGAAGTCCTGGATGGAACTTACAGAAGTATTATATATTTATTTTTTTACATATTAAATAACACTTCAAAATTGTTGCCTTTTTTTATAACAATGAAGTTTTCAGATCTGAAGGTAGAATTTCAGAACTGCAGAAATTTCCAGTGTATCCCATATGACTTTCACATGATCCATTATTCTGCAGTTAGGAAATTCCCATTTATTACAAGCAATCCAACAATTTGGATGGATTTTGAATGCACAAAGGCAGACAACATTTCTCCCAGGGTGTTAGAGATGTGCAAGGAGAGGAGCACTGCTCTTACCACATACAGCTGTTTCCAGAGCACAGCCCATTCCTGCAGAGTTGCTGTGACTTCAGTCACCACAGAATCTTCCAGAGGAACAACTGTTTCATATTGCCTGTAGAAAAAGAGGGGGGGAATTAGGAAACGTACCCAGGAAAAGGTAGAAAAAGAAATATGACAGCACAGTAATTTGTGGAATTCTACAACTCGAGTTTGTTCAACATCAGGAGAATATCTTAAGAGGATCATTTTGCATGTTATAAAACTGAAGCAACTCCAGAGTCATAGCAACTGTTCCTCCATTACACTGCACAAGATTAAGCTTATGTGAAACATTTCCTGGTTACCTGCTCAAAACACACAATTTCCTTCTAATCAAGGTCAATGAAAAGTTTTCATTACTACAGCATGTTAAATTAACTTGCCTGTAGAGTGGGTTCCTTCACAATTTGGGTTGATTCCCTAAGCCAGTCCACTCCTTTTTTCCCCCTCCAAAAATGTTAGCCAGTATCAAAACTACCCTAAATACTTGCTGTCTACTAACCTGTCCTATCCAGAAGGCTTTTTCAACATTGCAGATGAAATCTGAGGGATCTACCCTCTAATCAAAAGAATAAAACTTATTCTTTTGTGGCAAAGATTTTCCAAAACCATTAAAGGAGAACCACAAGAGTGTTTTGGACTGGGACTTCAAGGCTCATCTCATTGCACCCCCTGCCATGGGTAGGGACACCTTCCACTGTCCCAGGTTGCTCCAAACCCCATCCAGCCTGGCCTTGAACACTTCCAGGGATCCAGGGGCAGCCACCACCTCCCTGGGCAAACTATGCCAAGGTTTCACTACCCACAGTCTCAAATGTGTCTTCCTTAAATGTCAGACCATCATCTCTTGTCTGATTCCTGTCAAAAGCCCTGTCCCCATCATCTCACAAGCCCCCTTTAGGTACTGAAGGGCCACAAGCAGCTCTCTCCAGAGCCTTTTCTCCTCTCCAGGCTGAACAACCCCAGCCTGTGCTCCCAGCAGGGGTGCTCCAGCCCTGGGGACAGTCCCTGTAAGTCCCTAGGGATGTTTGGGGAGGGCAGTGAGCACTGGCTGTGTGGTATTCAGCTACCTGCCAGCTTCAACACATGCTCTGTTATTTCACAAGTGCTTATAACAGCACTTGAAATATATTCTGAACTAAAGAATTTTTAAACAAAACATGAAATAACCAAGACCCTCCTGTTCAGAACTGTGTTACATTCTGTTGTATCAATTGGAGCATGAGGCTTTGATACTTTTAAACAGTGTATCAGCTTTCCTAATAAGTATCAGAACTGGTTGCCCTTCACAAACTCTAAACTAAAATCAAGGACCAATTAACTACACATCACAGGGAACTGCTCCTTCCCCTAAGGAGAGTACACATTAGGAGTGGTTATTCTATGCAATAGATATCATTTTATTACACCCCCAAATTATGAAGCATCAGTATTACAGCTGCCCTTACAACCTTTACTGAGGCCCTTTGGGAACAAATCTACAATTCAAGACTATCAGAAGTGACCTGTTTTCCTGCAGGTAGTTCACTAAGAGCCATTTAATACATTTTATCTCCCACACTTAATTTGTTGCCTCAGGTCACTGTTTGAAACACTGCAATTATGAATCTCCCCACAGCAGCCTTTATCTGGAATATGCAAGTAAAAGCAGCAGTGAAAACACAAGATATTGATTTCAAGAGTCACAGTCAATCTCACAGGAAACTCTGCAGGTTCCAGTCAGTAACTTCCCTGACATGGCATTGCCACCAGTGCTGTTATTCACAGGGACTGAAATGAACCCACTGCCAGCAACACATCAGCTACAAACAAAGACAAGGGCAGAAATTTTCAGCAGTGCACTTCAGTGACTCTTTGGATGAGGTGGGGAAAATTTGGAAAATGTTCAAGGTAACACAGCTACCTGTCAGCCATGACTCTGAAAATCTGTAGATAAAGGAGATGGCCTGTCTACTGACTGGTGTCCCCATAACAAACAGGAAAATACAGTATTTCATCAGTGAGAGAACAAGCATAAATGGAAGAATATAAGCAGAGTTCTTTAAATGCATGTGGTTCAGATGATACCTCTTAAGTTACAATTTTATGAGCCAAATCAAAGAAGAATAAACATCAGACCTGATTCTTGCTATATTAGAAATGAAAAAACCACACCCTAACTCTGTAGAATTACATTTAATTTTCAAACTTTCACATACAAGAAAAAAGATACAAGGAACTAAAATTTTTGTATAAGTTTCATTAATTATATCTTTGTTTCCCTTCTAGATAAAAAGCACTGTAGCTTCTTAAAAAGAAGGAAAAATACTCACCCTCTGTTACTGACAATTGCCTTTTTCAAGTGAATATAATTTGCAGGAAAAATCCCCTACAAGAGAAAAAATTCTGTACATTAGAAAAATACTTTTGCAGTTTTTAGCACTGGTAACCTAAGCCACAATAAATAACTGCCAGTATATCCAATTAAAACCCCCAAACAACCATTGTGTCAAAGCTGCCATTGAAACTCTACATTCAGATTAGTAACAATGGACTGGTTTAGTCTGCCTTAGACCAGGACACCACACTGCAGCAAACCTCCCCCGGGCAGGTCAGAGAGGTGGCTCCTCTGCAGTTTGCAGAACAGGCTGGTGCTGATCAGGGTGACACAGACAGAGGCTTAAAATGACAAATTAAATAAAAAGCCACCATCAAGTTTGCATTGAGCCCCCATGGACAGAAGTGTTCTATTATTTGCATAGCCTGGAGCTGTCACTTTTCCTCCCTTTCCAAGGAAAAGCTGGTCAAGCCCCCTTGGGATACCTCCAGTTATTTGTCTTTTGCTGTTCCCACAAGGGCTGGACTCTGGCCTTGGCTGTGCCAGTGTGCTCTGGAGTGTTGAGACATGGGGAAAAGGGGCAATTTAATCCAACCTTTCTCCAGTGTTCCACATCCTCTGTAAAGCACATGGCCCTGAATCCTCACAGCAGAGTCTGCCAATGTGTAAGGACAGCAACCTGCACTTCAGCAGGAAATACAGCAGCAGCACTGGAAATCTTTGGATTAAAAACCAGCTGTCAGCCTCTGACAAGAATGTCAACAATAGAGTGTGGGCTTTCAAGTTTTAGAGCTTTAAAACCATACAATTTAGGAAGAAAAATTTTCAAGGGGGGTTGAAAGGAATCCTAAGTAAAGAATATTCCAAATTATAAGGAAAATCCCTTCTTGTTCATAGGCAAGACTAAAATTATAGAAGGAAAAAAGCTGAATCGAAGAGGAATGTATTCATCAGAAAAACAGTAAATGTGCTTGCTTTCAGCCACATAAAATTCCACAAAAAGAAGAAATGTTACTTCACTTCCTTGTTTGGTTCACTTCCAGTTAATGCTGCTTATTTCTGGTATCTAAGAAACCAGGGAAGGTTTGAAAGGCTCTCCTATCAAAACTGAACATTTACACAAGCAGAAATACCAACACACACAATGACTGCAGACATTTGATTAAAAGAGTATTATAGCCATGACAATGTAATACAGCTAATATTATATTCCATAATAAAGGTAAGCATGAGGAATCTGGTACTTTTCTCTCTTTAAATACAAGCAATATTTAAACCAACAGATAAAGAAGTGAAGCTCATATAAAAGCACCTACTGGCATGTTTGGATACCAACATTTACAAAAACTTAGATGCACTCACAAAAACAATCACCCCAGAACAGTCAAAAAAGTTCTTCAAGAGCAAAAACAATGGAAAAAGATGGAAAAGAACAAAATACAGTGGTTAAACTGTAAAAATCTGAACCCCCCCCCGCACCAGCTCACAAAATCCTTTTTCAACAGACTTTATTCAAAGTTGTCTTAGATTAATAATTCAACTTATTAAATGTGTTCTTAAAAATGCTGCATTAAAGCAATGCAATATCACCCACCTATGCTTTTCTTAGGGGAGTAGGGTGGAGAGGATCAAACTGGATGAGATTTATAAATGTTGAAAAAAATTACATGTTACATGTCAGGAAGGTTTCTAATCCTTTGAGTGATTAATGAGTATCACTCAATTTAAAAAGAAATCCAATCCTCCCACAGGAAAAAAGTTAAGAGAAGGAAAGTGAAAAGTTGACTGTGTTGCAACAGCAAAGTAGATTTAATCTCCCATTAGATGAACAAATGTATTCACACTTACCTTGACACTGGGCTTCTTAATGGAAACACCTCTGTACCAACCTGAAACCACATAAAACACATTGTAACTATTTGTGGCACTGCTGTCTTTACACAGAAGCAAACTGACTACAACTCAAAAAGCAGCTGTGCCTCATATAGATGAAATGTTTAAAAGAGCTTTTGCTAGGGTTTTTTTTTTTTTTAATTTATTTTGCTCTGCAATGATGACAAACATGTAACAATCTGGAATGCTCTTGTTTCTTCCCACCAGAAATAAAAGCAGGTTAGTTAGTTCCTCTACAAGTAATCACTAGTAACTGTGGCAAAGATTCAGCACTCAGGGAAGAATCTGCACTGAACACTTGTCTTCCAGGCTGGCACATGAGTCTTTTTGCAGTGTTTATCTTGACAAAATCTCCAGACTTCAGAAACCTGTAAAAGCCATTATCATACATTTCTAATGTGCTTTAAACAAATACAAATTCTTTGCATGTGTCTGGTCTTATGTATGTCTGAGTAGAGAAGAGGTTTTAGGATCTAATTTACACACCCCATTATTATTCTTGTATCCCCCATCAGGAAACAGCTCCAGACAGGACAATAAATGAGGAGTGAAACACAAAGCTGCTAAAGCTGCAAGTTAAACAGAAGAAGCCAGGTCCTGCTGCTTCCCACAGGTGACAGCAGTGTCACTGCAGGAATAAAGGAGATGAAAACTTCACCGAGTGGCAAAGCAGCACACCCTGGAGCTGGGCCTGGAACAGCCCCAGGGCTGCGAGGGGACAATGGTGCCAGTCCTGGGGAGGGGCCTGGCCCTCCTTGGCCATCCCAAAGTCCTGGGCAAACTCGGCCAGGCCTATTCAGCTCCCAGGTGCCATCAGCAGCTGCAGCCAGGCACAGCCCTCACCTGCCAAAGCCAACACTCACAGCAGCTAAATCCCCTTCCCAGAAAAATTCCTCTCATTTCCCCAGTGACTTCCTACTCACTGTCTTTTTCCCTCCCTTATTTAAAATTGCACTGGCAAAACCTGCCAGTAATTTGCTATGGAGAATAGAGAAGAACAGAACAAAGTAACTGGATATTTTGTCTCTCTTAGAAAAACGACTTCAGATTTGGCTGAATTATGATAACAGTCTCACTAAGAGGATCAGATGTGGGGAAGAAGGCCTTGAATTTGTTTTAAGACAGCCTGATAGTCTTGAATGTTTATCTTGTTTTAAAAAGGGAATCTAAATCAATGAGAAATAAAACAACGGATGAATTCAAGACAATTGCAAACATTAATACAGGAAAAAGTAAAAACCATCTTCTTTATTACACAAATTTCTCATGAAGATAGGACATAACACAAAGATTTATTTTCCTGTAAAATCATTGTTTATATTAAAAATTAATTATTGCTGTTTTGAATTCATTTTAGTTGCTCAAACTTCAGGGCAATCATATCAATATAAACATATATGCACAAACAACACATACAGATCCTTAACATAAGTGATTTCTAGAACTCCACACAACTGTGCCCACACCTGCTTTTGAGCAACAGATGCTGCATATTTTTAAGGTCACAGAAAAAAATAAATGCATTTATCCTGTGATTCACTGTTACTAATATTAAATACAGTCTGTACCTCAGAAATAACCAGACATTTAAGCTCTAAGACAAACAGAATGACAAACGTCTTGGTAAATGGGGAACAAAGTGTTTTTATTCAAGTTTGTGAACAGACCTGTAAAAGAATAAAACCCAGTAAAAAGGGTGACAATTAATAACCGAGATCTGCAGACTAGTAAATAAAACACATTTCCACAAAACCACTTCAATTCTGAAGTTTTTGTTCTTCATTCCAAACCAAAATTTCAAAGCTTACAAGCTCTGTGTTTACAGAGTTGTGAAAAAGAGGCAAGGAAGGACCCTGAGAAATCACTCAGCTCATCCAAGCCATGTCTCTCAATCTCTCCTCACATTTAGTCTGGTTTAAACAGCATCCAACCATTTCTTCTCAGGGCTGAATAACATTGCACTCCTTGTCTGTGGAAAACGATCCACACATCTATAAAACCCAGTTTCCAAGGTATTTCTGCACCAAATTCCAAGGAAACTCTATTTGTGCTACTCCACAAAGACCAGTTTGAAAGCAGTGGTGTTGCACAGGCACCTTTTTAGAAGAAATTTCTTCTACAGATCAACATTGGCCAGTAAAACTGCATGCAGGTAACACAAAATTTTGGTATAACACTTGGAAATCCAGAACATTTATGCCAAGTGGAGACAGCAAATCCTCACCAGAAAACCTATTTCAGTGGCTCAGACAATATACATGACTTTACAACCTGAACTTTTTTCGATGCTATTTGAATATTTGATTTTTTTTTTTCTTTTGGACATCATGGAAAACATTTTGTTGACTTTTGTCTTGTGGTTTCCTTCATATATTTGAGCAGTTGCTGCATTTCCTTTAATCTTATAAATTGTGCTTCCAGATCTTAGTTGTTCTTTTATTTTTCTCTTTTCTAATGTGATATAATTTTTTCAAAGTCACCACTCTTATTTTGAGTTTCCTTCAACTCTGTGCAAGCAAGAGACAGTTGAGGAGCTAAGCAGAAGCTGTAAGCCCCACATTATAAAATGTACAACTCATTTTGCATCACAAAGTAAAAGCTATGGGTAAAGGTACAATGCTTTTTTTTTAAAGGCACATTTAGAAAATTTGATCTGCATTACATTTTTCCCTAAAATGAACTAAACCTGCATTCTGGAATTGGTCTTAAACACACGAATATTGATGTAACCATTTATTATAAAGAGCATTTGTTTTGGAGGCTCTAATGACAATAGTCATCAAATCCAGGCAGGTGCTTCAGTGTTGTGATCCCAACAAGCATTTCCTGGTTAGACACAACACTGACCAACAGCTTTAGGTGTCACTGCACTGCAAATAATCACTGTTAATATTCCAGAGTTAGGCCATGCAGTTAGTGACACATGGCCTTCAGAGGGTATTGACTTCACAGAAATAGTCAAGCAGAGATAGGATTTAAAATCAAGAAATGGAAAAACACAGCTATGAAGTGACAAGAATTTTTTGAATAAATTAATGTGAAACAATGATCATGCCTGCAGTGAGGCTGGGAGGGGACACAGCTGAGATGGCTGACCTGAATCAGCCAAAGGGATATTCCACACCACACAAATCATTTGGTACAAGAAAACCAAGAGTTAGTCTATCAGAAATGCCACTCTAAAACTACCTGTACCTGTGCAAATCCAGTAGGAGAACTTGAAGCCACATTAGAGAATCTGGACACTGCTGGATAAAGACTGAAAACCCCTCTTTCCCAAGGTGTGTCACACCCAGGAGCCTCAGCCATAGTGCAGTTAAGTTGCAGAAGTAGCTCTGGGGCTGTCCTGCACATCTCAGCCTCTTCATTTCAGTGACTAGAAGAGCTACCAATGATTTTTGGATCTTTACTTGAAAGTGTGTTGAATGAAACCAGATATTCTTTCTAAAGGCTGTCTCATAACCTTCTTCAGATTTCCACTTAATCCACGAGAGGTCTGTCACATGGAAACAGCTCACCCCTTTAGAGGACTCAGTAACAAAAAAGCAAAAGGGTCCTAATTGAAAGATATTGATCAGTTTTTGACAAAAATAAAGCTCAAATATCAGTGTTAAGTAAAGAATCATGAGCTGCAGACTGTAGAAAAAATAAATTCTGCATATAATTTCTTGACAAACAAAATTCTGAAAATAAATTATATAAGTATTTATGGTAAATCTTAAAGCAAAAATTTGTTCTTAAATAAAGTACTGCTAGTAGAATCTGCTAGAGGAACTTGAGCATTCTTTCTCCTACAAAAATAAATGTACTTGGTAGTAATGTGAGTAAGCTTTGCTCCAGGTGTGAGGCTGTCTTTTGCCTATAGAAGCCAATAAACAATTGCTTTTACCTTGTTATCTGCATGAGAACTGCAGAGCTAAAGGCACCCAAAGTGATGCAGGAGAGGACAGGAGCAGTGCTCAGCAGAAGCTTCACAATGCCCGGAGCCCTCTGTCCTGAGCTCAGCACACGCGCCAGGCAGGAGGGGCAGCAGCTCAATCCCTCCCAGGCGGCCGGGAGCAGCGTGGGGCCAGCAGAGCCACAGGAACACGCTGATAATGCTGCCACGGCTGCCATGACAAAAGGCAAAGAGAGATGGGGTGTGATTTATCGTGGCATTGGCCAGAGGGCTCTCGAGAAGGCGCTGCTGTGCTCTGGAAGATGATTTTCAGTCACTGGGCGAGATCCACAGCAGGGGTGTGAGTATGAGAGGCTTCACCTTCATAGGCACATTCCACAAACGGCAAAGAGGGAAAAAAGGATGAAAAGGGGGGGAAATCAAACAGGAAAAGGGACATCTCACTGGAGACATCCTCCTCAGGCCAAACACAAATTACTGGGAAGGAGCCACTTTGGCCCAGGCAGCCACAGGAGAGCTCCCGACTGAGATGGGAGAAAACCTGCAGGGCTCCCACAGCACTGACAGCCTGGAGGGGACTCCTCCCTCATCTGTAGGGCACAGCTTGGAAGCAGAGCAAAGGCATCACTTCTCAAGCACACTGAATTCATCAAGAATTAAAAAAACCTCTAATTGCAAGTTATATCTGTTGCTTAAGTGTCCCAAATACCAAAACCACCTATTTTGACTATGCCATCACTGCTGGAATAACAGAGGGAAACTTTAAATATATTTTATGCATGGTTTAAGAACACAATTGTTAATGTACACACATGAAAACTGTGTAGATAAATACTTGTGTGGATAGCAGAATTTGCATGGGTAAGATAATATTCTTTTAACTGGTGCTTCAGGCACCAGCTGGTGTTTCCATTCTTCCGTGAACATACAAAATTCTCAAGGTAATAATTACAGTTAGTGAAGTTATAGCATTTTTAATCTAAAGAAAATTGCCCTCTAGCAATAAAAACAAATGGACAAAATAGACATTTTAAATTTAGTCTGAATGCCACTAGTTACTGACAGCCACTGCCTGTGGCAGGGCAATGGCCATGTGACTTCAAAAATAGGGTGTTCTTTAGAATGCAGTCCAAATGTGTATTTCCAACCAGGAGTGTGCTCATGCTTTGCCACTTGACAAAAGAAAAGTCCATCATTCAGCATTTCCAAGTGTCACACTAATGTCCCTCCAGCTCCTCCAGGTACGACAGGCAGAGCAGAAAACTCCACTTGGTGTTTCAGTTCTCCCTCGGAGCTAAGAGCATAAGTGGAAGGGCTCAGAGAGGGGAACAGAGAGGGGGAAAGCTGTGAATGACAAGCACAGGTCCAAGTGATGCCTTGATGAACATTTCTAACCTTTGAGTGAGACCAGTGGAGGATCTGAGAGCCCTTTGAGAAAGCTGGAACTACAAAACCTGCCTGGTTTACAAATGGTGAGTGTTTGATGCAAACACGGGTGGAGCCCTTGAAGCTGCAGAGGAAAGGCAGGTACCAGGTCCATGGGCTTGATTTACTGGGACAGTGGGCAGAGGGAGGCCTCTGTCAGACTTAGGAAGGGTTAAAAAACAGTCATTTCGATATTTGTGGTCTGCTATGAAGGCACACAGAGAAGCAAGCACACAAATTTGGCACACAAAAGTTCCAATTTCAAGGATATGAACAAGATCCAAACTCAAAAAGACAACTCTATTTCACTTCATTTCATTTTAAAAATGCATAGACAAGCACAATTTTTTAACATGTTATCAGTTGGTATTTATATTTATTAACCTTAGAGATAAATACATGTAAGTGGGTGTGTGCACCTATATTTGTTTCCTTACTCTGCAAATATCTATAAAACTTAGCTGCAGTGGTACCCAAAATCCTGAAATAGGAAATTCCCTCCCCTTTCATTCAATTGCTCTAAAAGCAGGGACTGCTTCTTACACTAATCACTACAGAAGAGCACTTGCTCATTTATAATACAAACGCAGTTATTCAGGAAGTTATTATGATTAAAAATAAGCACATTCAGAAGTATAGCTACTCTTTGAATCTTTGTCAGTCTTGAATTCTTTGGCAGTCTCTGAAATTCTAGTTCACATCACTAAAAGTTTTGTGTGTGAATCTTTTCAAGCCAGACAGAAAAATCCCTGCTGCAGACAATTATGCATAAACTATTCAAGAAGTGAAACTGAAACAGCAATGGATCTCCTGTGACTCTCACAGCAGTGACCCCTATTTTGTATGGGTTAACATTATTTTATCCAGTCTGTCTAGACAAAAGAATCTCCAGCAAATAACGCAGAAGTAGAGGACCCTGTTAAACAACCACTTAGACAAGAACGCTTAAAAAGCAACAGCTTTTTATTCCCCTTTTAAGAGCCTGCTTTGCACATTTAGTGTGCTTTTTTGCATAATTCACACATGCAAGAGCTGCAGCAGAGACCATCTGAATATTCAGATGAGTTTCATAGTGTGGAGTTCCAGATGTTATTATCAAAATCAATGTATCTTTTTATACACAAAGTCCATGGTAAAGGCACCTCAATCAAAATGACAGGATAGAGAGCTTAAAAAACAAAACCAAAAAATTTCTTCCATCCAGGAAAGAAAATCCTGTCTGAGTACCTCCTTTCTCAGCAATTTGAAGACTGGCATGAATTGCTTTTGAGGAATCATCTTCAAAACTACCAGCAAAGGAAATATTCAAAGCCTAATTGTTTTAACACTGTAAAGATAAGTTGGATTATCCATTTGCTTTTCCATAAACAACCTGTTCCTTGGAGATCATGCTTTTATTTCCCAGAAATGGCTGGAAACTACCATGACTGCTTTCAACATATACAGTGTTGAATTCTTTTAAAATTATTCCACCCTAAGCCAAGTGATACATTTTTTCCTGAGCTTGCACCACGTTCTAATTCACAAGACCTGGTAGAATAATTACAATCTGCCCTCAGTGTGTGAGCACAGCTTAGCCCATCACACCATTTGTGGTTATTAAAAAAGCAAGGGATTGTTTACAGCAAGCTTCTTTGTGGTTAATTTTCTCCACTGCACTGCAAAGCTCTCATTCAACAGAATTTTTACAAATGTACATTACTAGAAAATTAGCATAGCAAAGGTGACTTTTTTGTGATGAGTTAAGTCAGTGGAGAACAAACACCTGAGTACAAGAAAAAGATTCAAGAGCAAAAGACAGTTCTAGGCATGAGAGAGGCAAAGCAGAGGCTGCTGACAAGCATGCAGAAGGTCTGGGGAGCAACATTAACACTGGAGATGAAGAATTATTTTAAATTGAACAAAAAAACCCCACATCTACAACTTCGTGGAATGTTAATTTGGAATTCAAATTTGTGGATCCGAGTTTTGAATTTGTTTAACACTTCAGGATTAAGGTTACATTATTCCACCTCAGACTACAGTGAAACATGTTCTCATACTGTATCTTGTCAACCTACTTCTCACCAGACATGTTTTACAACACTTGCTTGAACATTAGGATAAGAATAATTTTCCTTTTACATACAACTTCAATCACATTCTTCCTTGTGAATAAAGCAGAGCATTAGGACATTCAGTTTATTCACACACACATCTCCAGCCACATAAGAACTATAAAATTTACAACGGCATTTTGCTTTAGGTACAAAAACACACATCAAAATAAATGCAAAAAAATCTCTTCTAAACCTATATTTTTTACATTTTTTTCTGGTATTGCTAATCTATTTAATAACTAATATTTTCCACCTGTTCAGATGTTTCTAAGTAATTAAACTGATACACTTAATAGAAATGCGTAACAGTAACAGTGAGAAAATACAGTAAAAAATATACTGATTCTATACTTTACATGATGAAAATTCAGTGTAAAACCCAGTTACAACACAACAATTAGGTCAGGGTTCAAGATTTTCTGGACAGATGGTTAACTTCAAACACACTGACCCCCTATCAGACTGGATTAGTGCCAAGAGCACTCAGCCTTTCCTACAGAAAGTGGGTCAGAGTAGGTTTTATTCAAGTGCTTTGATTTGATGCATCATGATTTCCAAAGAACTCATTAAAATCTGCTAGGTTAAGATATTTGTACATTCTTACACAGAAAATGGGGTTCCTTCTTGGACATCACACTTACCTTCACATTTCTCCAGGATCTGGACAGTTTCACCTAGTTCCAGGACCAAGCCTTGCGGAACAGTTCCTCGGAAGCTGCAAATCACTAGAGGGTGGGGAAAGAGAGAGAGAGACATATGAGCCTTGGATCTTTGTGTGAATTTTCTTCTAAGCATAGCCCTTTAGCTCACTCCCTGCATAAAAATAGCTCTGACATAGCTGCCCAGAAAAACTGTCAGCCAACTTTTCCTGATCAGGTATCTTTATTCCAGACCTTATCAGAAATTAACTCAACAACAACATAAAAGCTGAGCTTTTAAAAAGATTTTTAAATTAACCAAGGCTTGTAATGTCTTTAATCAGCAACCTCTGATTCATATTGCATACAAAGATTTCCCTGTCTCACAATTCTTACTCTCCTCCACAATCCATCACTGGAACAGGCTGCCCAAACTGCAGAGATTACAACAGGAACTCAACTCCAGCAATCACTTTTCTCCAAGTTGACGCTATTTCAAATAGATGCATCTGTGCATCTAATACACTGCAAAAATCCTGTAATGCCATACATTATATTTAAGCAGACATATGAAGGAATACCTAAGAATCTGTACTTTTCATAAGCACCATCTAGCATGATAACACATCTTACTTTTCCAGGTATCTCTAATTTTCATTAACCGGGGAAAATACGAACCCATCTTAATGTTTCAGAAAATATTAATACAATAAATAAAAATACTAAATGAAACTCGAGTTCAAAAATAAGTGTTAAAAATTCAGTGTACGATGCTATATTCTTCAGCTATATTTATCAAAATACAACGGGGACATGGGCAGGGGTAGTTCCCTCAAACATGAGATGTCAGAACAAAGAGTGAATTGCAGGTAGGATCGTAGCTCCCCCCAGTTCCAGCATTAAAAACTCCCCCAGGCACAGATTTAATGCAAGCACTCCAGTACCTTGTTCCAGGTAAACACACACTCAGGAGAGCTCCCCTGTACATCACCTACACACCCCGGAGCATTGTCAGTGCAATTCCACGAGTTGAAACAGTGACCCCCAGTGGGCACCATCCTCTTCTCCAATTCAACACAACACTCCCCAGGGAACGCAAACACTCCAGCTGTGCTCAGCATGCTCCCATTGATGGAGGCCCATCTCACAGAGTATTCTGATTTGGAAGGCACCCACCAGGACCATCGAGTCCAACTCAAGTGACTGGCCCATACAGGGCTCAAACCCACAGCCCTGGAGTTCTCAGCACCATGATCCAACCGGCTGAGCTCAGCTCCTCCCTAAAGATCTTCCCCAGCCAGAGCCATGAGTCCCTTCTGACTGCACATGAAGCAGACAGGATGAAGTCCAGGGGAAGAACACCAAGACTCCCATCTGCACCAGGTAGGTCTCTTGAACATTGAATTTCTAAGAAATAATGAGAAAAGCAGAGAGACCACAACAAAATTGCATTTTAACCCTATACACACACTTCATCATGGGCAAGGGCAAGAAAGAACAAACTACACCCACCAGGCAAAGCCCCACACAGATGAGGCCAATACAAGAAAGAGTGGGGAAAAAAATCTAAAGGGAACCAAATGGCATCAAATGTTTGCACTTCCACTGTGAGACTCAATGCAGAATTTCCTCCCAAGAGTTAAGAATTTCATCAGCAAACCTAAACTGGTCTCTCAGCTCTTATGGCCCAGCAGAAGCCACCATCAGTTAAATGAGGCTTTAAATTCTTGTTTACATCAGAGGCAGGAGGAACACAACAACTGGCTCCAGACTGGAATAATGCAGACAGCATAATCCAACAAAAACTAAGCTCATCAGCATTCTGGATCCATTCTTCACCCATGAAGAAATCGTAAATACGGATTTCAACCAAAGAAAAACTACTTAAAACCTCTCCCAAAGTGCAGGAACACTGACAACTGAAATGATGAACTGGCAGGACATAATCAAACCTCCAATGGCGTTTTCTTTTTTTTTCCTTGGTTTTTTTTTTTTTTGCCCCTTCAGTATTTTAGATAGCTGGATCCTTTAAATCCAGAAAATGTTCTTTTTTCTAATTGACAATTTCACCAAATCGAGAAAATACAAGTTGATTTGCAAAATACTGCAAAGTCCTGTATTAAAATTTTTTAGTTCATTTAGTGATTTTTTTTTTTAGTTCAAGCCAACAAAACCACTAAAAAATGCATTTCACAAAAGGGGAAATTCCAAACACCTTAGATAAAAACCAACCTTTAAAAACACCAGAAAACAAAACAGACGAGTGCTAATCCAGTAATAAGATATTAATTTATGAGAGTAATTTTAGATACAGTATTAATTTTAAGAATTAATACAGGCATATAACATTAAAAGCCAGTTTCCAGACTATTTTCATCTTTTCTGAACATGCCATGGATCTCATGACACAGACACCAGCTATGGGACATGTTAGTGGTTAAAGTTAAATCATGGAGGTAAAAACTCAACTGGTGTTACTCAGCCAAGCTCAACAAGAAACAGGAACTCTGAAAAGTATTATTGCATGCTAACACTGCATTAGGTGCTCTGAATTAGCAAACAGCAGCTGACTTCCTATAACAATTATTTACTATATTAAGGCTAATGAATCAAGGATGCAGCTGGGAAAGAAATTACCAGTTATTTGGCCATCAAATACTTGCCTATTACATAATAATACAGGTGAGTTTGGAATAAAAACTAAAGAAAAGGTACCAGTGAAAGAGAATAGCAGGGTTTTTTTTCAATTGCTGATAGAAGAAAAAATTTAAATAGGATCAGGAATGGTGGCTTTAATATACTAAGTCTTATAGGAAGCAATTCTAATAGATGTGTTAGTTTACAGATACAAACTGGCCATTTTTAAAAGGATTCTACTGGTCACACAAAGAGCATCTGATAAAAGGACTGCAATATGTAATCAGCTCTTCAGAATTCAGGGTGCTCTATTCATAAGACAGATAAAGCTCTTTTCTTAGGTCTACTTCACTCAAAAAAAGAAAAAATAGGCAAAAATCACGAAACAGAAATGAACTGATCCCATCAGTTCTAGATACAATCTTAGAGATCATACTCAATTAGAAAATTAATTTTCATACAAAAGTAACACCCCCCCCTTCATTCTCCATACAACAGTATGGAATCTAATTCCTTTTGTAATCCTCAATATATTATATTAGTCTCTTCTGTTTGACAATTCTTATAATCCATCCATAGGTTCAGTGAACAGCAATATAGATATTATCAAAACAGTGGAAGCCAAACCTCAAGAGTAAATGACTTTGCAGCCACACTAAATCAAAGTCAGGAAAAATTAAAGAATTCAAACAAATTGACCCAATAGACCAAACTGTCTTGCTAAACTGTGTAATGAGAACAAAATTTAACATTACTGAAATAAAAAAGAATGGTAAAAACAACTTCTGATTATGACAGAATCATAGAAATTTAAGGCTTTTATAGTCTGATTTATTATTCCAACAGTTACTTCCAAAAAAGTTATGGATGTTACTCATTTCTTAAGCTAAAAATGCATGGTGCAAGACAATCTTGCTTATTAAGTCCCTTTTAGGTACACAGTTCTTCTTAGCAGCAATATTTGAAAAATATCAACACAAATATAAATCACAAATACAGAGTAATTCAACTGTTCTAAAGAAAATCATTTACAGAGAGGACTCTGACAACTGATTCCTTTCCACTGAGAAATTCTCTATCCTACATGATCACCTACAAACTGTCCATCAATCCATAAGCTTTCATCATTTCTTACACGATTCATGTCCTCAGGCACCAGAATACACAAGTAACACATCACCAAAACCGACACAAAGCAAAGCTTTTACCCACCAGTTTAGAGATCTGACTGATCCCTCTTGGACTCCAGGACACACTGCTGAAATATTTAATATCAATTTTCAGATATGAAGCCCCTTGTCATCATTCAGGTCTATAAAGGAGGTTGTAGTTCCCCTCACAAAGTCTTTTCATCCACCAGTTAAAGCCAATATTCTGCTAAAGAGGAAAGCTTTGAAAATGCACCACATGCCATGTGATTCAGGAATTATCTCCAAGACTGAAGTCCCTTATCTGTGGTACTTAAACTGGACCACAGTGAAGGAAATCCTTCCCTCTTCACCTCTGCAATTTACCAGTAAGAAAGGCACAAGCCAGTTCACATAGGCAGTGACTCTCATGCTGTAGCAGAACATATGAAGGAATTGTGGGGCACAACATATAAGAACAGATGGCATTGGAATCATGGTTTCAAAAGCCAAGGATCCAGGGGATGACAGATTTTTCCTTGCCCATGGGTATGGCCTCACACAGTATAATATGAACAGCTGCATTGCAAGTCACCAGCACAACTGAAACTGCACCAAGAGGACAGGACCTGTTGAGTTAATGCATCTTTGCACATCTCTGATTCCTCTGATGCCCCACCTAAAGCAGCTTCTTGCTATGTGAACAGAGAAGATCCAATTGATACAATTCAGGTTTTACAAACCATGTGCTCAATCAGCCCCTGTCAATAGCTCTTGAAGAAACTGCACTTAGCTGTGATAAACTGGGGAGGTGTTTGCACAGATAAATAATCAGCAAAGTGATGTGAAATGAAAGAGCCATTTCCCTTAGTAAGGACAGGTTGAGCAGCAAGCTCTGAAAGGATCTCTGTTGGAATCTTTCCTGTTTCAAGTATTCCTAAATGACCCAAAAAAAGCTCATCATTTAGGAAAGCCACAAAGTTTGTAAGGTCACTCAGGCTGTTCAGTGTAATAAAAAGAGTTACAGATGGACCCAAGCTCCACAAGAAGAACTGGCAGGTGAGCAGCGTTCAGTTCACCTGGGTGATATTCCATGAGGGATGAACAATCCTCACCTCACACACAAAACCATCATCTCCTCCCTTGCTAGTGCCACACTGAGTGGAACCCTGGAATATCAGAGGTTTTACAATAAAACTCAGTGCTCAGCCACTGTCAGAGACCACATCACACACAGTATTGCCTTGGGGAAAAAGAGAAGACACCATTACCCACAGTTCTGCATAAAATTCCCAATGTGCCAGTTTTCCCCTTTGTCAAAAG